TGCAGAATCAGAATCTTAGTTTCGAAGAAAAGTTAATGCAAGCTTACAAGGATTTATCAGTGTATTTCTCTTACTGTCTGCAGATAGAGGACTTTGAACGTAAATTATCTCTACAGACAGAAAACCTTCGTTATATATTGTCCATTGAATCCAAAGTATTTCGTTTCATGCGAGTGATAATGGCTGGCAGAAGTGATCACCAAAATATCTCGCCATTTTCACGAAATGTTTATACTTGTTTGTCCAATGATGAGATCGTAAAGAGTGTGCAAACAAAAGCCGTTCTGAAACATCTAAGCGAGTATTTTCAGCAACTGAAATCATATTTAATGTGGCTTTAATATATTTATTGTTAACTAACATTTGTTAACTATTGTTAACTTACATTTGTTTGAGCAAACATATACACAATTATTTTGATACTTCTTTTTTATATATTTTGTATGATTTTTGTATATAGTTTTAATAAATATGTTTTATGCTGAACTTAAACTTTTTATTAAAACATATTAAGCTTGAAGCATGAATAGTAATTTAATTTAAGATAAGCTATGCTGCTATAATAATAAAAAGAAATTAAAAAAAATTAAAAGAAAATGCATAATAGAAATATTTATATAAAAAAAATAATATCATTTTGTTTTTCACTTACGACCCCTTTTCTGTAGGATCAATTCCATTCCAAACTGCTTGATTTCAGGCCAATCAAATGCACAGATGCATGCGGTTTTAATTTTGGCCTGGAGAGATTTCAATATTGAAATTTTAATTCGTTCTTAAAATGAACATGCCATTTATCTTTTTTTTCCCCTCAATGAGTTTGAAGTAAAACAATATGCTTCAGAATACTATATACAATTTAATTTGTACATTATAACTCTTTCAGAGTGCTTACAACTGATATTCATAAAATATCTAACATGACGCCTTGGGAAATCATGTCTTTTAAAAGTATTTTGGACAATAATTTTGCTCATTTATTATCCGACCTGCATTTGTATTCTAAGGAGGCCCAGACTTTATTCAATGGTCCTATATTAGAAGAAAACTCTAGTTGTACCCATCAGTTTGGCATTGTTGTCATCATATATCCAAGTAAACTCGAGAAAAAAAACACAGCAGGGTCTAAACGTGGATGATTTACAGACTATAAACCTTAATGGACAACTAACAACTTAACAATATGACAAATGGTATGACTTCAGCTTTCTCCATCTGCAGTCTACCCTATTTAATTACTAATATTCCATATACACCTGCATAACGTAATTTTGTCTCACAACTGATTCGGTACTCGTTTAATTTGAAACTGAGGAAGGCTGCTCAAAGATACGTTGATGTTAAGGAGCTTTCAATAATTTCGGCAATCAGCATTCTACAAATTATATGGAAAAGGTTTATATTAAAAATGCATATTTCCGAATACAAGCTATAGGTCTGTTTTGAGCTTATTTGGAACATGGCTGATGTAATATTTTAGTCCAGTATTTTTATGTTTATTTTGTCTACGTATCACTCTGTACAACTGATCAACACAGAAGGCTCACGGCGAGTAAGACAGAGAGTTAGGGGATGTGTACTCCTCTTAGGCACCTTATTCCACCTATGTTATCCCAAGGATCCGTGGTTTTTTGGTCTTCTTCACAATATTTATTTTTACAGGATATATGAGACCGGTGTCACTATTCATTAACTTCACCTTTTGCATCATATCAATTGTTATGAGATAAAATTAATCATGCTACTGATCTAAAAATATATTTGAAATACGAAGAAACATCAGCAACTGATAAGAATACAAAATCCCTTGGTGTTATGATTTATTTATCTAAGCATCTATCTGCCATGCATTTTAATAAACAGTGACCTATGCAAATAAGCTCGTATACAGACAAGTTTTCTAATCTAGTAAGGAAGTGTTTATCAATGAGAAAACAACGCCATCCCACGTCAATGTTGCAGACTTGCAAAATTACATAACTACCATGCCAAAGTCTTACTAGACGTCAAGCTTCAAACGATAATTAATGTTAAGTCACTATAATATATAAGTCTTCCTGAATGCCATTTCGTTAAGGAATTCTGCAATTATTAAGCATAGTTTCTACGATTACATTCTGTAATTTGTATTCTTGAAAAGAGACTTGCTTAATTTGACGTCATCACCGTATCTGGTTAAATATTTTCGTCATTGACATAAAGTATCTTTAAAGGGGTTTTCCCAGCAGATGTCAAGCATTTTTAAAATACAACGGAAAATATTATTAATGATTACAGCAGTTCAAACCTTTACTGAACTTAAAAGCCAGATTCAAAGCCTCTTTTTAAAGACCAATTGCCTTCGTAACCTATTTTTAAAAAAGAAAGATGGCACATATTTTTTTAAAATATTCTTAAAATAAAATTTAAAAAATATTCATATAAAGTGTGTGCTGATTATATTAAAAGTCCTATAGGCATTTTGAAAACACGAAAAAATCATAATATCACTAAAAAGGTCAGATATTTGCTATTTCCCGTTAAGATATAAATTATCATGGTTACACCTTGTTTTTACTAAACTTATTTTTCTTAAAGCTTTCTTTAAAATGAAAAAGTGATTAATAGATATTTAATTAGGATAAAAATTTTCAAAAGAATATATTAAACATAAAAAATTAAATAGAATTATTCGTAACTAATCATAAAATATTTTTGAAGGTATTTATATAAAATTAAACACTAACAAGGAACCCTCTAACAATGTTGTTTTTTTCCCATTAATTCTATTATTTTACTGTCAAGGACATGCGGCGAAAAATAATATTGCAAAACCACTTTTACCTTCCTAGAATAAGATTCAAAAGAAAATGAAAACAAAATAGATTGTTCTCGGAAATATCATTGTATATTAAATAATATCCCTTTGAACGTGCTTATTTTTGATACCAACTTTTCCTGCAAGAATTAAACATAAGAATGTTTTCATTTCGCTTCCTTTCATATTAAACCCATTTCCTCATTATAAGACAGCTAAATCTCTAAATCTGCGGAGTGTTGGAAGAGGGAGGAAAATGAGTTAAAGCATATTCACTTGAAGGATAATTCACTTCAATCCATTCTGCTATATTTCAAATTACCTTTACCTGTTTAAGTTGACAATTTTAAGTACACTACCTGAATAATTGATAACCTACACGTGCAAGTTCATTACAACGACGCATACAAGTAGGTCATAACCTTTATATGCATATTTGAATATTAATGAGGTGATTCCAGATCTTTTGCATACTTGTGAATGGCAGATATGTGACCTTCAGTTTACACACGTTCTGTACAACTGCAGTTTCTTATTGCATAAACATCTGATTGATTAATCATAATCATCGGAAATCGATGTGTTAAATGAACTCATAGATAATAAACAACAAAAAGCAACAAATATAATGTACTGAAGATAATAAATGCAGATGAATTCAGAAATTCACGTTAGAAAGTGATTAACTTATTTCATTTTTTTTTCAACTGTTTAGAAAAAGGAAAGCAGCAGGCTGACACTTTTTGTAGATTCTTAGTGTAAGACACGTAGGAGGAGTACCCAAAAACAATAACGCTTTCATATAAAAACCTTGAGAAATAATTAGCATTGGCACAAATCATTTAGTAATGCAATTTGAATCGATGAATTTTTATTACTTTACAGAAATTCTTTGATTTGATTGGAAAATGGTTAGAATTCAAAGGTTATGAGGCGTCCTCGCCTTCTATTTCGTGTAATATACTTTTTTGGCAGACGACACAAAACATTACAAGGTGGAAGAACATATTCCTAATCAGGTAGTATCCCTGCAGGTGGAGTGACCGTGACAACGTAATTTTCAAACTGGAAGCGCTAACTTCCGCAAAAAGGGATTTCTGTGTAAAATCCGCCGTCACGCTATAAATTGTCAGTTCACACCGAATTCGTCAAAGACTTTACATCTACAGTAACAATGGAAACTGGAAAAATTATCTGTAAGCATAAGAGCCTCTTAATATTTAAATGGGTTCATGCTTATTAAAAGGGAGTCAAATTATTCCGTTTTAGAACTTCTTTTTTTTTCCGTTGCAAAATATTCATAAAGCAGAGTTTATAATAACGTGCAATTATATTAAATTTTAAAATTATTCTAGATATTTCTTCATTTTTCATTGTTTAACTTTTATCTTCTTAAAAACGCAGATTTTTAAAAGCAAATTATTTCAATTTGAGAATGTCAGCAATTTTCATTGATTGGATTTCTTTTACAGTTTTTGCGACGGCTACCTTACTGCAGATCATAACAGAGATTTCCTCTGCAGCCATTCCAAGTACTTGCATCAAGCCATCCGCCCTCAGCATCCTGCAAAATCCATGCGATGATCACGTGGACAAAGTGAAACCTGCTGCAGAAAATAGAACACTGAGTCTGATTGGTCAGCAGGCGGGTGACTTAAGAGTCCATATAAAGAGTGTTCTCGATATTGTAGTACGTATCTTCTTTGGTGGGATTTGGTAGGAGTTTGGTGGGATTGTTATTAGTTTGGAGAGTTAAGAAGCAAATGCATTATTGCAGCAAGGAGGTGACTCATTCTTTATGCTTTGCTCACTAAAATCAAAATTTGTAAATTATTAGCATCTTTGATTTTGATGAAGTCAGATGCACTTCACATTATGACGCAGGAAATAGTAGAGGACATTTTCTCATACCCAATGCATCAAATGAGCAACATGTTTTCCTCATTCAAAGAACCAACACCTTGATTTCTCATTCTCTTTATAGCCTTTACCGTATTCAAATCTTTCGTTGTGGTTACAAGTAACTTACGAATCATGAGTAATCAATGGAAGAATTGTTCACTAAATACCAACTAAGACACATGCTTACATGAAAAGTTATGTAGTGTGTTTAGTTTTTTCCTTCGTTTTCCCTGTGCAATGATAACGTAACAGAAATCATAACCTCCACTCACGTTGACTTTAGAACTACATAATAAAACCTTTTCTTACAGAAAAAGGAGCGCTATCACTCGCCTAACCCCGATCTGACCATTCTTTTTCCGGAGTCGGTGCAGGTAACATTATTGTTATTTACTTCCGTGTTGACATTTGACGTATATTTACTTCTAATTATTCTTCTTGTCTATAACATTTACGTTGATTGTTTCAGGATGTGTCTACGAATACCACACAAATCAAGCATACCATGGAATCAGTGTTTCTATATGTGGATCAGCTGATCAACAGAGAGAGAAAATTACAGATACAAAGTGAAATCCCGGAGAAACTTTGCAACATCAATAGAATTATTGTTAAAATTCTGTGTAATTTATACAGAATGGGTGCCACTGAGCAGATAGCACTGGAGGACAGATCTGAGGTCATACAATCTTCCGTGAAGGTACCCCCTCCTCATTATAACTTCACATTTAAGGAATTGTTTGAGAGGTTCCATGGATTTCTATGTGAATTAATGAAACACAGCGGAGTACAATCTTCTAATTGCTAACAGTGACACTGGTTTAGATTTTAGCTTCATATTTAATGGTAAAAGTGCTTTTAATTTTTTTATATGATTTATAATGACGACAAACATATGCAATTTCAAACTGTTTCAGTAAGTATAACTTACTCAAGTTTTCGTACTTTTACCCGGTTTATTTTGCTATTAAATCCAAATTTGTCCTGAAAATTTCGAATTTTAGACTTTCGTATTTTTCATATATGTAATATCGGTCTTCAATTATTAGTTTGCATATGTTTGTTCGTCAATCAAAAACTCCATGATTGAAATATTAGTCTCAGGGAATATTCCTTTGTAATGATCTCAAAATAGTCCCATATTTGTGTGAAACCAAAGAATATTTATTTAAATGCCATGTAGATTTGTTTTTCTATTGTGCTTATTATTTTTTAATAGCATTTAACTATATCTATTTATTGATTTGTTTTTTGGTTTATCATCCTCTTTTAATGTGCAGAAAATGTAAGTCATTAGATTATTTAATTTTGCCAAATTTTGTGTTTTTAACATGTTGATATTGTTGATTAGAATTACAGAAATATTTAATATGCTTTAATTTCTTTTATTCCCAAAAAGAAAACAAAAATGTTGGCGATGTTTTTGAATTCGAAATTTTGCTTACTTGTTTCTTCAAATGTTATATATGGGATTTTTTTTTTATTTAAGGAAAACTTAGTTAACTCAAATTTTGACGAAAAGTGAAACGTGTTTTATATCTAATTATTTTTTTCCTTGTTAATAGATATGAAAATTAATATAAATCAACATTTTACTAATGGACTAAGAATTTCCCCAAAAATCACGTTGTCGAATTATGACTCAGTGAATATATTGGCACATGTTTATATGTGTAATGAAATTGTAATGCGTAACAATCAATTCTAAACAGTGGACAGTTTATATATCTCGTAAAAAAATTAACAATTGTCTCTTTAATGACTTCTTCTTCTATAATTAATAATAAAGTTATTAATAAATATCAAAATAACGTCTCAGTTATAATTATTTTCAATAGAAAATGGTTCATACTTGTTTAGATTTTTCACTTTGTATGTAAAAAACTGACTTTGTAATGCAGTTATTCCAAAATTAAAAATTGAAAGAGTTTCTGTATGATTTCTTGTGAGTTATCTTTAATTGTGTAAACATATGTTCTTCATGCCATATATATGCAATACATTCCTTTCACTTTTCTTAACTATTATATTTTTCCTGAATAAATGTATTCTGTTCACTAGGTAAAATAAAATATTTAAGATAATTAAATTCTCGTTTCTTTTTGTACTAATTGGTTCATTTTGAGTTTATCATATAAAATCCAAACGTTGTCATCAACGAATTTTATTGAAATTTAAAATTTCATAAATGATCTAGTATAAATTGTTAAATATGTTTACTGCATACTTTAAATTTTCAAAGACCAAATATAGTATTACTCGGGAAAATGTGCACAACTTTTATCATTTTGTGATAATTGTGAGTCAATGTGGAAATCGTTGTCTTACGAAAAATCTATTTGCAGGTATTAATGATATAATTTGGATTCTTTCTGAACTTCTCTATAATCACTAAAAGTAATTGAATATATATATATATATATATATATATATATATATATATATATATATATATATATATATATATATATATATATATATATTACGGTGCAACGAACATTCTAATAAATGACAATGCATTTAATTTTTTTATATATAACAAAATTTATCGATTCGTATACTAACATAGGCCTAAAATTCATTTTCCACTAAAGTTATCCAATTCAGACTGAAAAAAGTATGTTGTGTAAAATTTCCCATTTTTACTTCAACTCTCTTATATATCACAGTCTTAGATTATATTTATTGCACTCTTTTATCAATACATGTGGAAAAAGAGTGACGTCCTTTATCAGATTGTGAGGTAACTGTCCGCCGGTTTATCACGTTGATAAGTGGGTGTTTGATAAAGTAAATCACAGTGTTCTTGACCTATTTTCCGTAAATGATAGATGTTTGTAGGAGGGGAAAACTAGGAGATGAGAAAAAATCCAAATTCTTAGCCACTTAATTGGTCACTTGATTGTTTAACTATTGGTCAGTTTGTTTTCGAAATTGAAAATATTGTTTCTTTTCATTTTTCTTTTCATCCCCTCATAATAAAATTGATAAAAATAAATTTAATTGTATGTAATGTATGTTATGAATTTATCTTGCATATAATCAATAAATAAGGATATTATTAAATGCAGACCTCATAATATAAAATAAAAGGAATGTAACAAAACAAACTTGATCAAAAAAAAAAATCGAAATATAATTCAATAAAATCAGAAGCGCTAAAATCATCTTTAATTATCTTTTAATTCTTGGAAGGTAAAAAAGAAATTATAGTTACGAAGCATTCTTGAAAATGACATGTCCTTAAAAAGATTAATACTCATTCACTCAAGAAAATTGCAAAAAAGTCATACTATGTCTAAAGATTCACGTCATGTGAAAGAAAAGATTACATTTTATTTAAAAAAAAAAAAGATAATGGATTTCTAATTTAAGAAACGACAAGTCACTGCCGATGTTGGACACTTTGTTTACAAATTGTGAACATTACACAGCATAAAATAACAACGTATTTTACATATTTTAAAATGTTAACTTTGGATCTGCTTTATTTTTATAGGAGTTTTATATTTCAATTATATTTATTCGATAAGATGCATTGCAATTTGTTTTAATACATTTTACTGTTAAAGTGTATGCTTAACTATTCACAATGTTTCTGTATATAAGATGTCAAGAGTCATTTTTTGAAGTAATTCTTAATATCTCATAAAAGAAAATCTTTTATCTGGTGTACGTATTCTAATCATCGTACTCAAAGAGTGAATGAAAGTTAAATCATAAGAATATGAATGAGAGAATGGTGCAATGTACTTTTTAATTTATGACGCTTTTACTTCAGAACTCAAAAATTCTGGAATTTGGTATTACTTCAGCCTTCCATTGGACGTCAAAAAAAGATAAACATAATTAACACGTGTTTTTACTAACATTCATTGTTTAAAACCATTCTATGCATTCTTGCAGATTTGCATTTTTTCAATCCTATTATTTTATTTCTTCGTTTAACTTTTTTTTTTCTTCTGGCTGAAATTTCCTTGTCCTCTCTTCTTCAAATATATCGGAAAACAACGAGTTCTTTAGCATCATGACAAATCAAAACAAATATTTCGTCATTTTTAATCTTTTTACTTCTCTATAGATGTGAATATCGAAAAAAATAGTATGTTTGACTTTCATTCAATTATTTTTTTTTAATTAAATTTAATGCAATATAATTTTGTATGCAGATGTTTTATGCATTGATATTAATATATTTAAATCCACTCAAAATTTCTCCTTTAATTCTTATGAAAATCACCTTCCTTCATCAATTTATTAACTCTACACTAGATAAAACATTTTTAATGCCATGTTATGAAAGATTTCTTAATGTACCCTTCGAACATTAACACATACCATGTCGTACGAATCAATGATAAAATATTTTACATACTTATACCTACTTTATACGATTAATTATACAGCTAGACATAAATATACACAAAAAATGCATTTATACGTTTGTTGATGTTTGAATTAAGGATTGCAACCATTACAGAATAAAAATGGTGAAGATAACGAACAGTGATCGATCTCAGAAAATCTACAAACAGTCAAATCTGTAAACAGGGCATAAAACATGCACACTCGGAAATTCCAGAGGTCGGATGAGATGCCCAGGAGGAGTAGCATTCCATGTTGACAGGTCACACACGCCGTAAGCCCTTTGTATTGATCATGTAGACGGAACTTTCCGTAGTCAAATGTTGTATAAAAACAAAGACCTAACAATTGTTATGAAACACGTCAACCAAAATACAACCCAATGATAGGTTATATTTGTTAACAAGGTCATTATAACGACCATAGATTTTACGAAATGTTGACTTTAAACGAGACTGTTGCAATCCCCGTAACATTAACTTATCTGTCAGTTGCTTATCACGATTTAGAAATTGATCATACTCAGAGTATGCTCTTGAGTATCTAATAATCTAGGAGTCTTAACATAAGTAAGGAAAGTTGAGTTCCATTTGTATTGAAGACGCAGTTGAAAGCAGAAAAAATACATAATCCGCCTAAGCGGGGATTGCATAATGTTGTTATTTATGACAAGAAACTGATAAGCAGAGATTCCAATAATGGTTGTTAAAAAGATTATTGGTTTGTTATGTCTCATAACACAAAAAAATAACCAATGCAATAAAAAAGACACATGGTTTTTGGAAATTAAACATACTTTCCAATTATTTTTCTAACTGATAATTAATCACATTAATATTTGAATTTGCGGGCCTAAACAATGTTATGGTATTAGCAAAATGTTTCAAATATAAACACTTTACAAATTTTATCTCAAATATTAAAACTAAGGCAATTTACCCATGTAACATTCGGCATCTGCAGGAAGAAAATAAATTTTACAGTTTCAACTCTATTTACTGAAATGAATCTTAGCTCAGATATTCTCAATTAAAAAAAATGCAAGGTTAGAAAGGTTTATAGAAATTATAAAAGTCAATGCTTTACACATTTTGTGGAAGATTCTGAAAGTGATCTAAATTCTACATTCTAAATGATATTGTCTTAAAGATGGTCAAAATATAAATTTGTAAGTAGATCAAACCTAACATAAAATACTTAATATTCACGAGGCCAATTAATGATTAACAATTGTAATCTCCAGAAAGTATTGTTTAAAAAATACATTCTTCTGCGAGTCACTTCCTTGGATGTATAGCGATTCTTTTTTCCCCTAATATGAATATATTTGTATCTAAAAGTATTTAGTCAGTGCCTGCACCTGACTTTTAAGAGGAGGGTGTTTAATAGAACAATCCACCGTCTTTAGCATGAAGATGTGCAAAACAAGTGATAGCTTTAGCAAAGAATTGAGCATTGACCTATTTTTGCAATAATTATTTTCAA